GCAGCTCCCCGCTCTAATATGTGCAGGAATAACATTAGTCATTTCTCCACTGGTTTCACTCATTCAAGACCAGATAATGAACTTATTACAGGTGACTGGAAATGTTGTTTCTGTCTTCTATTTCATTAATATGTTGTACTCAGAAATTATGTGCCAATTACGCTTTGGTTTCTGAATCATGGTTACAGGCCAATATACATGCAGCTTCCTTAAGTGCTGGAATGAATTGGACTGAACAACTAGAGATACTTCGGGAGCTGAGCTCGGAGAATTCTAAATACAGGTTACTGTATGTCACACCGGAAAAGGTGGCAAAGTGAGTCATTATTTTTGTTATTGTTGATTCTGAAATGATCAAGTTATTTGAAAATCCCTCACCGGATAGGAGTGAATAAGAGCATGCAAGCCTACAATACTAGCTTTTGTAACGAGTATAAGCTAAGAGTCTGTGTGATTGATTTTGGGCCAACTCCTATCAGATTCCCTCGTGTTATTAGATTTGTGGTGGACTATATTAGCTGGTGATGAAATATATAGTTAGACACTTGCAATAGTTTTTCGATAGATTTTGACCAAAGTTTGGAATCCTCTAATTATCCCAAGTCTTTCATATTGGGAAAGACAATACCAGTAGCCATCCAGCTTAGAAGCTTCTCTTTCTTGACTGCAGAAGTGATTCCCTTTTGAGGCACCTTGAAAGCTTAAACTCCCACAGTTTGCTTGCTCGATTTGTTATCGATGAAGCTCATTGTGTGAGTCAGTGGGGGCATGACTTTCGACCAGACTACCAGGTTTGCCTTTTAATGCTTGAGACAGACACTCCTTTTACATTTCTGTTTTTAAGAAACATAACTTTCCTCTTTTTCCTCCAAAACAATGTTTATCTATGTAGGGTCTTGGTGTTTTGAAGAAGAAGTTTCCTAATATTCCCATGTTAGCTTTGACAGCTACTGCAACAGCCAGCGTAAAAGAAGATGTTGTGCAAGCTCTTGGCCTGGTTAACACTGTTGTGTTCCGCCAAAGTTTTAATCGCCCAAATCTGTGGTAATGTACTGAAATAGGTTAAGCGATTATGTTTTCAGAATGCTGCTTACCAAAAAAATAATATGCAGGTACTCTGTGGTTCCCAAGACAAATAAGTGCTTGGAAGATATTGACCAGTTTATCAAGAAAAATCACTTTGAAGAGTGTGGCATCATTTATTGTCATTCTAGAATGGACTGTGAAAAAGTCACTGAAACATTGCGGGTTGGTCGTTTGTTTGCCTTTTTCGTATCACTTATATGGAGCGTAAGGCGTGTATTATGTTCCAATTTGGAAGTGCATATTATTTGCAGAAGTTTGGCCATAAAGCAGCTTTCTACCATGGTAGTATGGATCCTGGTAAACGTGCGTTTGTACAGAAAAAATGGAGCAAGGATGAAATCAATATAATATGTGCAACAGTGGCGTTTGGAATGGGTAATGAATGGTCTCTGCTATAACCACTTATATAAACTGAAGTTTGCTGTCTGCTAATGGTCGGTATTTCAGGAATAAATAAGCCTGATGTTCGCTTTGTAATTCATCACTCTCTCCCAAAGTCCATAGAAGGCTATTATCAGGTGTCTTCCTGAACATTCAATTACGAATTTCCAATGGAGCATAACCTAACAAAGCTAGAAACTCACTTAAGGCTACTTTTGTTTCATGCAAGGAATGTGGTCGTGCTGGTAGGGACGGCCAGAGGTCATCATGTGTTTTGTATTACTGTTATAGTGATTATGTAAGTTGTTTTGCCTGAAACTTTATCAAGTTACTACTCTGAACGAATACCTATGCTCTTGGTCATGTTAGTGGTTACACAATATACTTTTCAGATTAGAGTGAAGCATATGATTAGCCAAGGAGGACCTGGCCAAAGCACCATGACAATGGGATACAATCGCATAACAAGTTCAGGGAGGACACTCGAATCGAATACCGACAATCTTCTCCGCATGGTAATTATTGGCAAGATTCCTTGTCTTTGCTTTCAAAGTTATAAATCTACTCGCTGAGGTATATTTCTAAATTTTTGCTGCTCCAGGTTAGTTACTGTGAAAATGAGGTGGATTGTCGACGTTTCTTGCAGCTAGTTCATTTGGGGGAAAATTTTGATTCGACGAATTGCAAAAACACATGTGACAATTGCTCCAGCAGCAAAACTTTGATTGAGAAAGATGTAACTTTGACTGCAAGGCAACTGGTATAGGAATCATCTGAGTTAAGAATGTACACTAATTGCTGGATATTGTATCTGTGACGCACTACGATCTTTTGTTGCTGGATAGGTTGAACTGGTGAAGCTTACAGGAGAAAGGTTTTCTTCAGCTCATATTGTTGAACTCTACAGAGGATCCTTAAACCAGACGGTATGTACAACTAACAGTACGTTTACTTTATTTAACCCTTGAATCGTATCAGTGTCATTGAACCGCTTGCAAATAATTGTCTTTACGGCTTTTAGGTCAAGAAACACAGGCATGAGACTTTGCACCTCCACGGAGCAGGAAAGCATTTAACTAAAAGTGAAGCCTCTCGTATCTTGCACTATCTTGTGACACAAGACATTCTCGCAGAGTATGTTAAAAAGAGTGATCTTTATGGATCTGTATCGTCGTTGCTGAAGGTACGAATAATGTAATTTTCGTTTAGCCTCTGGTTGATGTCGTACAAAAAAAAAGTTCTTTGTTAATATGTTGTCATCGTTACTGAACTCTTTTTGGGGGAAAATATTGATCTCTTCACTTTTTTCGCCCTTGTTAATTATTCTTAAGAATGAATTTTTATGTGTACGAATATATCCATTTATATATCTCGTCATATAGGTGAATAGATCAAAGGCTGCTTCACTCTGCTCTGGAGGCCAGACTATAAAAATGAGGTATAATAACTTTAACACTTGAAATGTATCTTGTAATGAACTACTTGCAACTAAAGTGGCGCAGTAGCTCAAACGTAAGGGAATCATTTAAAAGAATAAATACTGCCCACTGCTGCTACTAATTGTCAGCTACCTTCTAGTTAAAGGTTGATAATGTTAGTTTTAGTTGATATTTTTTGCATATAATTTTGCAGATTTCCTTCAGCTGTAAAAGTATTAAAGGCGAGCAAAAACGGACCAAATCCAGCAAGAGTTCAACTAAGGCAAACTACTCTTATAATGGCACCTGCTCCTCCACAAGACTCGGTATATATTCTTGTATCCTTCTCTTCCTTACCACAGCACCATGTTTGTATCCACATTTGGTTGATGGTTCATTTGTGTCAATACCGGGCTAGATTCTCTCCGACACCTTGTTCACAGCCTTGAAAAAGCTTCGTACTGTTATAGTCGAGGAATCCTCAGATGCAGTAATGTCATACCATATATTCGGGTAAAATTCAAAACCTTCCTTTCTCTCTCTCTCTCTCTCTGGTCATAAATAACATTGTGTGTGCTTGTAGCAATCCAACGCTTCAACAGATAAGTAAACGACTTCCGAGAACCAAGGAAGAACTTCTCGAGATCCATGGTCTTGGAAAGTAAGTATCTATAAACTCTACTCTCTCTCTATTAGATGAAATAATGATGGTTATCTTTTGAAACTTTTAAACAGAGCTAAGGTGAGCAAGTACGGAGATCGTTTACTGGAAACTATAGAAACAACCATCAACGACCACTATGGAAGAAATAAGAATGAGGGTACTGGGTCAGGGAAGAGGAGAAGAGACGAGAACACTGATCCAATTGTGGTAGACGCCGATGATGATCCAGATTGGACTCCGAGTCAACAGTCACGCAAAAAGGCTTACACGGAAGCTACTTATTGATTTTAAAGACGATGGAAGAAATATTATCACACCTTTGGTGATATGTCGCCAAGAACAAAATGTTAAATGAAAAGAGTAAACTCTAACGCCCAAGTCACATGTGTTCCACGAGCTTAGTTTACCTGTCGTAAACCAGCTAATTGTTTATATACCCTTGTTTGGTCGAACGAAGTATTATTGTGTCGTGCCTCAAGTCACGTGCACAAGTTCTCTACTCAGATAATCTCCTATTCATGATATAGCTATCCGTTTTAATCACTTTTCTGGCCTCCAAAATCAAGGGTCGAAGCAACTTACGAGTAAAGAAAGAAAATAAGGAGTTTTCTTGGCGCTCAATAAAACGTCTCTAGCACGGAAGAAGAATAAGTCAGTAAATCGATTTTTTGTATACCCTAATTTCAATCAAAGTTATCTTCTCCAATTTTGCGATCTCTAAATGTCTGCACTGCGAACTGTTTTATAATATCCGGTGATAACTACGCCGCTCATATAATATTTAACCCCTCATCTAGTCATCTGCAGTGCCAGCTTAATATATTCTTGGTCCCAGAAAATTTAGACCCCTTCATATTTATATTTTTTTAATTTTTTTACTAATTAAACCAAGATTTCTGACTACTAGTTTTTTTTAGATTTTGTGGCAGAAACAAAATATAAATGCAATTTTTGAGATTTTCAATTGAAATTTATTTATTTATTTATTAAAAATAAATAAAATATATTTAAAAATTTAGACCCTTAATTAGAATACCAAAGACATAAACATGTGACATTGGGTTCCTGCGTTTGAAAGGTTTAGGGTTTTGACAAATGAGAAAATTTCAGTTTCCGTGGAGTAATAGACGAAAGCCCATGATTGTAACTTGTAAGCAAATAAAAATTCCATCTTTAATCCGAAAACCGAACAATAACAACAAAAAACTTGTTTAGGCCTCTTTTCCCCGGTTTGAATTTCCAAAAAAATAAAGGAAATAAATAAATCTGTTAAAAAGGAAAAAGACTTTTACCCATTTACCGCAGTAATAAAAAATAGAAATTCAGAACACGGCTTATTATGGAAAGTTTCAGAATAGGAAACAATAGGTGAGAAGGGAACCCGTACATAAGTCGTAAGAGCACATGAAGGTGCAAACAAACGACAATTGCTTTTTCTTTGCAATATCATTATGGGAGGCGTAAAACGTAAAATAAAGATTGAGTTCATCAAAGACAAAGCAGTAAGATCAGTTACTTTTACCAAACGACGTGACGGTCTCTTCCGCAAATCTTCAGAGCTTTGTCTTCTCTCTCCCACCACTCAAATCGCAATCTTAACGAAGCCTCCAACTACAAATTCTCACGCTGCTTTCTACTCCTTCGGCCACTCCTCTGTCGACCACGTTGTCTCTTCTCTACTTCACAACCAGTCTCCTCGTCGTCCGACAAACCAAGAAGTGAACAGATGGTTAGGTGGTCGTTGGTGGGAAGACGAAGCCTTGGAAAGACTGGAGAATGTCGACGAGTTGAGAGATGCGACCGATGCGGTTACTAGGATGCTGAACAATTTGAGGTTACGGTTAGATGCCGTGAAGAGTAGTAATCAAAGAGGTGGAGCTTTAGTGATCCATCAAGAGGAGGCTCCTCAGGTTTGTAACACCAACACTAACTATAAGAACGAAGAGACGATTGCTAATTCTGAAAGTGCTTCTGGTTTAGTGATCCATCAAGATGAGGTTCTTCAGCTTTGTAACACCAACACTAACTATATGAACGAAGAGACGATGACTCAAATTGCTAATTCTGAAGGTGCTTCTGGTTTAGTGATCCATCAAGATGAGGTTCCTCAGCTTTGTAACACCAACACTAACTATATGAACGAAGAGACGATGACTCAAATTGCTAATTCTGAAGGTGCTTCTGGTTCTGGAAGTTTGAAAGAGAAAGAGGAGGGTTTTCTGCATGTTGATGGTGTGGATATTGATGATTTTTTCACTGATTTCAAGTTTGATCCATTATTTTAATTTTGATGGACTTTTATATGCATTATGTCCGATTTACACTTAGGTAATGTAATGTTTTTTAAACTATTAATTATGCTGTTATAAATTATGAGAAACACTACATATATGATATTACAGCCGACAATTATACATATCTTATACGAATTCACGTCTGATCTGAGCAATCCTAAGAGATCCATTACTGACAGTACTCCTTGTACCATGATGAAAATCTTAGAAAAAAAAATCTATAATTTGCCTTCTCCACAAGTTAAAACCTAGATTTCTTGGTGTAAAAACATTAATGAAACATTAGTCAAACCACTTGACCAAAAGGGTTTCCACTGTAGTCTAGGGGTGCATTTGTAGGCTGATCTGACATGAGCTCAAGTTTGAGTGAATGGGTTTTTATCTAAGGGAAAATTCGTTAAAAATACACAAACTGAGTTTCTTTTGCTAAAAAAATACATCAACTTTTTAGACTTCCCGAAAAATACATAAACTAATTTTGGTTGTCTACAAAATACATGAACTTTTGAATTTTGGAGGTTTCACACCTCGATTTTAACGACGCTAACTCTGATTAACTCAACATTTAGACGACGTTAACTATGATTTAAAAGTTCATGTATTTTATGGACAACCAAAATTAGTCTGTGTATTTTTCGGGAAACCCAAAAAGTTTGTGTATTTTTTCAGCAAAAAAAAAAAATTAATATGTGTATTTTAAGAAATTTTCAAGAATATACTAAGGTGACAAGACATTGTTTTTTTGTTTGACTGAAAAATGTAATTTTGAATATATTTTGTCCACCTTGAGGCCGGTTCTTCTAGGTCAGCTCGGATCTATAATTGAAATACGTGTAAAAATTCTGGTAATTTTTGGATCAGTATCATGTGGTAGAAAATGTGTTTTTATTCAGGTCTTTGAGTCGGGTTTGGGCCGGTTCTTAGATCCGAATATCTTAGATCCGAATATCTTAGATCCAAAAGACCCGGATCCGAAAAGAGCCGGCCCAAACCCGACCCAAAGACTCGAACAAAAACACATTCTCTATCACATGATACATATCCAAAAATTACCGTATTTCAATTATAGATACGGGCCAAATTTTTGAATAAAGACTCAGATCCGAAAAGAGCCGGCCCAAACCCGACACAAAGATCCGAACAAAAACACATTCTCTATCACATCATACATATCCAAAAATTACCGTATTTCAACTATTGATCCGAGCTGACCCAGAAGAACCAGCCTCAACATGAACAAAATATATTCAAAAATTACATTTTCCAGTCAAACAAAAAAACAATGTCTTGTCACCTTAGTATATTCTTGAAAATTCCTTAAAAATACACATACTAAATTTCCGTTGCTAAAAAAATACACGAACTTTTGGTTTTCCCAAAAAGTACACAGATTGTCCATAAAATACATGAACTTTTGAATCAGAGTTAACGTCGTCTAACGGCGTCTAAATATTCTGTTAATCAGAGTTAACGTCGTTAAAATCGAGGTGTGAAACCTCCAAAATTCAAAATTTCATGTATTTTGTGGACAACCAAAATTAGTTTGTGTATTTTTCGGGAAATCTAAAAAATTGATGTATTTTTTTTAGCAAAAGAAACTCAGTCGATGTATTTTTAAGGAATTTTCCCTTTATCTAATTAATGCCAGAAATTTAGTGTTTTCTTAGTACATTTCCTTTGTACTCGAAATTGAACCATACTAGTCATGTTATTAGTTTTCCTCCATGCCTTTGTTGGTCAACAACCAAGTACAACCCATAATGAATCCAATTGTTCAACTTCGTAACATCTCTTATTCTCTTTTATGGCTTGATTTATTGCTCATTTTGATGGAATTTTATGGTTTTATAAAGGTTAGAGATTTGCTATCTCTTTCTCATTCCTTTAGCAACAAAAAAACTCATACACATTATTTTCTCTTGGTTTTTCTGACTAGCTTCCACTTACAAGTTTTCATTGTCATTCTTTTGGTATCAATTGTTATATATTAACTTTATGTTTTGTATCATCATCTGTTGACTATTGTAATTGATGTTGGATTTTCCATATTATAGTGATCTTTCTAAGTTTTTCTTAGATAGTGGAGTGGAAGGTTGTAGATTATATTGTTGTTGTAAAAAAGTGTTGTTGGATGGTATGATCAAACGCACGACATGAAAGACTCAATTTTTGCATGTCAATTACACCATCCATGACCTTCATGATCACAGCCTCTAATTTTATCATGCAACATCAATCTAATTAATAACTATGTAAGGCAAATTATGTAGAACTGATCATATTTTTTTTTTTTGAATATTGGCAACTGATCATTATCTTATATTAAATTTTTTTTGATAGATCATAACACTAATAACTTTTGAGAGCTTAATTTTTTCATACATTATATATAGATATATACATAGGCATTGGAACAATAGTTGGCGTAGTTTTATCTGGATAAGATTTCGACTCAAAAAAATATGTACGTATTGATTACACGTATGATATGTGCATTATTATGTTTTTCATACGTTTAAATAAATTTGTAAATTATAAATTTCTTTTTATAAAATGGTTTAGTGTGATGTAGACAGACATGAATTTTAATAAGGAATATAAAATTATCGACTATATTATTATATATGTAATGTTTTCTAAAATTTGTAATAATATAATTAATTAACGTTAAAAATAAATTTTCTAAATTCTGGATATTTATATTGAGATAGTGTACATCTTAACTATAAAAGATATTTTATTATTTTATTTATATATAAATATATATTTAACTATAGAAGATATTTTCTTATTTATTCTTTTTATAAAAATAAATATTTAATTATATATACGTTTTTGCCATTTGGAAAAGTTTCTTGATAAAAGCTCATTACTTGTATTACAAAATACAAATTGCAATTACAATGACAAGATATCAATCTTCTTCTTTTCCGGATTCGTTTCCATGCTAGCTAATTTGATAGTGAAATAATAATTTCCTCTATATATGCCACATAATATTACAATATTTTACCAAAAAGATATTACAATGTATTGCCATTTGGCAAAGCATCCCTTATTTAGAGATCCTCTTCTATTTTACATATGCCACATATTATATATTTTTTTCTTTATGCATGCTTATCATTCATGCATGCATTGACCAAACCCAGTCCTGATTTTTGGTTTATTCTTTCCATATGCCGATATATTTTTATTTTGTTTTCTATCTGACAGATTTCTGTACCAAAAAACTCATTTACAGTTGGCAAGTGCTACAATTACAATGTATTATCTAATTACACTATAAGCACCTGTGGCTATAAATATAGCTTCATGCATGACTAAACACCATTATCCAGTCACAGACAATACAACTCACCTCTCACAGTCCTCACATCCTCTTCCTTGATCTCCCCATGGATTCAGAAACCGTTACTACCAATGCGACCCTACAAAACCACCAAGACGAGACCGAGAGAGAGTTCGAGAAGAATCAAAAACGGTACGAAGACCTAATCACCTCGTTCCCTCACACCCAAGGCTGGAGACCAAAATCTCCTCTGATCATGTACGGTGGTCACTGGATAGTGAAGCCTCTCCTTGAACGTTGGCTTCACGCGAGAGACGTCTTCCAAGCACGACCCGTCGACTTCTTCGTTTGTAGCTACCCAAAGTCAGGTACCACTTGGCTCAAAGCTCTTACTTTCGCCATCGCAAATCGTTCTGCCTCTGACTCTGACCAATCCTCAAACCCTCTCTTAAAATGTAACCCTCACGAGCTTGTTCCTTTCATCGAGGGCAAACTCTATTTGCTCCCTCAGAATGATGTTGTGGAGGACAAAGGGAACACTCTCTTCTCAACTCATATCCCTTACGGGTTATTACCGGAGTCAATCTCGAAAGCCGGTTCTAAGATGGTTTACATATGGAGAGACCCAAAGGACACCTTTGTCTCCATGTGGAACTTCTTCCAGAAGGAAAGGTCAGACAACGGTCCTCTCAACAGTCTTGAGGAGTCTTTTGATATGTTCTGTCGTGGTCACTCTTTGTACGGTCCTTATCTAGATCATGTCATGTCGTATTGGAAAGCCTATCAAGAGAATCCAGATCAGGTGCTTTTCCTCAAGTACGAGACCATCAGAGCTGATCCTATACCCTATGTGAAGGAACTGGCTGAGTTTATGGGGTATGGATTCACATTTGAGGAAGAGGAGAAAGGGGTTGTTGAGAAAGTTGTGAACCTTTGCAGTTTCGAGTCGTTGAAGAATGTTGAAGCCAACAAAGGAGAGAAAGACAAAGAGGAGAACAAAGGTAAGGTAAGCAGTAATGATGTTCCTTCTAAGTTGTATCCGAATAGTGCGTATTTCAGAAAGGGGAAGGTCGGAGACTGGAGCAACTACCTGACTCCGGAGATGGCGGCTCGTATCGATGGATTGATGGAAGAGAAATTTAAGGACACAGGTCTTTTTGAGCATGGTAATTAAATGGGACGGTTCGTGTTCTTTTTTTTACTTGCAGGTCAAGTTATCTCATTTCATCAGTTTCATTCTACAATGTATTATGCTTTCCTTGGAAAAGCAAATCTGTTTCTGTTTTTTTTTTCTTTCTAAATGTAATGTTTCTGTGACATTAATTTGGGTTTGTAGCCTATTCGCCTTTACCTGATTTGTGCAAAGTCTTAATCCTTTGCAACTCTCGTTTCTACACAGAGAGAAAGTAGATCTGTGGTATTAAGTCAAGCAATTAGGATTATAAATCAAAATCTGTTTCTTGTTTCAAACAAAAACTATTTGATAGGTTTCCATTAAGAATGGCGAATGCGGACCACCACATTATTTTAGTGGTTCATGATGGATTTATCATAAATTGGACCAAAGCCAAATCTGGCCCATTTGCTAGAAACACTATACTTTATCACCTCTGAATCTCCTAGAGAAAATGAGAAAATTTGATGGACAAAAAGACAGGGAAAATTGACAAAAAAAACATGAACTTTCGAATTTAAGCAAAATAAACCATGAATTCATAAACAAGTCATTTTATACATCAATTATTGGTCAAACATGAAAAAATCACCTATTATCGTTGATCCAGCCATTCCGTTAACTCCGTTAATGAATAGTTAATGTTGACTTTTGGCGTGTCTAAAATGGCTTGGTCAACGAAATTATGAGATTTTATTGGTTCCAGTTTAAAAGTTAAAGATTAAAATGACTTACGAAAATTTGAAAAATTTATAATTTAAAAAAAATAATTTGTCAAATACAAATTATTTTTGATTTTGATAATATGCAATATACTATATCAATGATCATTAAACAGAAGGTTATAAGTGATCATTTTAAAATAAATAAGACTATATTTACAAACACATAATAGTTATTCTAAACATGTGGTCATGCTTGTGTTGTGATTGTTCTTAAGATAATCCATCTAATTAGTTGATTTCATATGGTTGTGGCTAATTCACTAATTTTGTCTTATAGCTTTGTGTTCATCATCCTTAGAAGATTATTATGAATTCTTTTAGCGTTGAAATCAAAGTTTACAATTTCATAAAGATCATCTTCTTTTAAGTTCTCATTTCTTCTTTTTTTTTGTCGGTGAATAATGCATTCAAAAGAGTTTAGCCAAACGGCCATAGTAGAGTACAAAATCAAAACGAAAACCAAAGCATCAGTAGATGCCAAACAACCTCAAACCCTTCTACTCAATGAAAAAAAGAAATAACTCTAATCATAACATGAGACCGAGTTCTTCCAAGGTCGCTTCCATTAGTGTTGTCACATTGCCCCAGCTTGGGCACTGATCGTGGTGGAAAGCCAACTAGTACCTCCTCTTGCCATATAGGATTGATAACACTTGTCAATTGACACACAAGTCTTAATTATTTTGGATTGATCACTTATAACTTTCTAAGCAATTATTTAACCTTAAACATTAATAGAAGAATTTGACATGCCCCTACTACATAAAATCAAAAGTGAATTTGTTTAAGATAATCCATCAAACTTTATATCCATTTATTTTGGATTGATCACTTATAACCTTCTATTTAATTTATTTAACCTTAAAATCAATAGAATAATTTAAGATGAGATGGTTACATAAGATAAAAATGAATTTATTTATCAATTCATTGATATATATATATAGTATATTGTATATTATAAAAATCAAAAAAAAATATTTGACAAATTATTTTTAAGAATTTATTAATTTTACAAATTTGGTAAGCCATTTTAATCTTTAAATTTTAAACTGGAACCAATAAAATCTCATACTTTCATTGACCAAGCCATTTTGAACATGCCAGAAGTCAACGTTAACTATTCATTTAAAGGAGTTAATGGTTTGACTTTCAACATGTATAAAATGGCTTGGTCAATGATAATAGGTAATTTTTTCGTGTTTGACCAATAGTTGATGTATAAAATGGCTTGTTTGAAAATTCATGGTTTTTTGGTTTAAATTCGAAAGTTCATGGTTTTTTTGTCAATTTTCCCCTAAAAGATAGTTAAAATATATACATATTTGTAGTTTGGGATGTTATAAATATTTTCCCTATTATCATTTGTAATATGTTAACAAGTTGGAATAAAGTAAGTTCTAAGAAAGAGTTTTACATTGCTGCAGTAGCATGTGTTTATGTGAATTTAAGTGTCGACATATTTAGTTGTTGGGAGAGAACAAGAGAAAAAATATAGTATAACTTGGGTTTACATTGCTGCAAGAATCATGTGTCATTTTAAGCCAACTTACCAATAAAAGTATGTATTATTTTACAATATATACAATAGAATGTAATCATATTCTACAAAACAATTTTTCTTAGTTTAACATCAAATATCAAATTTTGGAAACATGTGTTTTTTTTTTTTAACTCTAAGCATGAAATATACATTAAAATCTGTGGCTTTCAAATATACACTAAAATCTATGGTTTTCAATAAAGAAAATTCATTTAAATGATTATATAATTAACAAGTACCGTATAACCTCTATAAATTAATACTCGATAAATTAATAATCTCTATATATTAATAAATTTTGTCGGTCCCAACTTGGGCCGGTTCAAAATTTGACACAAATCGATAAAATAATAAGATAATAATTTTTCAGAAAATTATATGTAAATTTATGGTCCCATTAAAATTATAAATTAATAATTATATGTATACATATTTTATATAAGTAAAAACATATCTTAATATTGTTTGTTTTATATTCACAATGAAATTCTTTTTATATTTCTTAACACTTATTATATTTTTGATGAGATTTGATAATATTATGTCTAAAACCATATTTACATTATGTGCAATATATATTATATACAAAATAATATAATAAAGTTGATATAAATGTCAATTTCTTAAAAAAAATAATTAATGTTTATAAAGTAAAATCAAATATTTTTCTTATTTTAGAAAAAAATATGTTAAAACAAAAAACCTAAATAAGGAAATTTTTGTAAATTAATATCTCTATAAATTAATAAAATTTCAAAGTCCCAACACTATTAATTTATAGAGGTTTTACTGTAGTTACATTGACAATTTACATTAACAAGTAGTTACATTCAACCACGCGTTAGTAACGTGGTCAAGTGTTACCATAACATTCCATGGATCGTACGGAGGTCTGACCCAGAGCACAAGCAAAGTAAATAATGGTTTAGGATCCAACAAAAATTTTGAACTTTTTCAGCTGATTTTTTTATTTATATTATACTAGAAAAAAAGTCTATTTTAAAATTTGAGTAAGGTCCTTACCAGATATGGCCGACCCTGATCCTATGGTAGAAAAAAAGTAGTTACATTGATTCTTTACATATATATATATATGAGTGATGTGCTGAAAAGGATAATTTATTGGTTTTTTTCATTTCAGTCAATAGTGAATTATCGCTTTGCTTTTTTCTTTTAGTGTACTCTTTTAGATATAATTATCCCAGATTTTTAAAGGGTTCTTAAAAGATATGAATCCCATAAAAAATTAAAAATCGATCACACGAATAAACAAATAAAGATCAATTTTGTTTAGTTTCTTCCACTGGTTCTACTGACATATGACGATCCGGCATATGGCGACTTGTGATTGATTCATTTTTGAAATTTTTTTTTTATTTTAGACAAAAAAAATTAAGAAATTCATTAGGGGCTTAGGGATAATCATACTCTTAACATTGTACCTTAATTAAACGTAAAAAGTTATAAAGTACGTTGACAACAAACCAATAACGTTTTTAGAGTGCTTTACTAAATATATGACTGAATTGTTTTACTAATCTATCAGTTCCATCTTCAACATGGGACCTCACTTTTACATCCTTTGTCGTGTTTAATACTTTTTTCAGTGATGAAATTTTCTTCTATACATCAGTTACAAAAAAATATATATATTCTTCTACAGTTTTTTAAGTCTTTCATGTGAATTCCACTACATAACGTCTTTCCCATGCTACAAATGTTTTTGACAGCTGTAGGACAAAATCTCATTTTCAACAGTTTTAGAATCCGTTTCAGCAAAAAAAAAAAACAACTTTATAATCCATAATATTATTTTAATGTCAAAATCACACTATTTTATTATCATTTCAATATTTAAAAAAATTCCATATCTAACCCAAATCCAAAATACTATTTTAATGTGAAATGTCACATTAAAATAGTGTTTTGGATTTTGATTAGACATAAAAAAGTTAAAATGACACTAAAATAGTGTAGATTTAGACACTAAAATATCGTTTTCTGACCAAAAATGCTATTTAAAATGGTTATCCTATTAGTGTCAAGAATATTTGTTGTAAAAGAAACGTTATACCGTTGCTAATAAAAGTTTGCAGAATAAAGTTGATGCCACAAATCTGAGACACTCATTGCCTGGAGTAGGAAATTAGCGATATGGGATTTGCACAAATCAAGCAAATATGAAGAGCCACAAAGCAAAAAACAAAAAAAAACAATGATATATATATATATATGTGTAATACATTTGGATGAAAACAGAAACAACATTTATTCCTCCAATATATAACTTGATTTCATTTTATAAGCAAACTTGTGCTGTAAGTAAACGTAGCAAGGATCAGTCATTGCCCCCAAATACAAAGTGATCATTTACAGTGTTCAAGCAAACCTGTGCCCTTGAATTTCTCTTCCATCAATCCATCCATCCGAGCTGCCATCTCCGGAGTCAGATAGGTCTGCCAGTCTCCGACCTTTCCCTTCCTGAAATAGGCGCTGTTCTGATAAGCACTAACAGGAATGTCTTGTCTATATGTCTCTCCTTTGTTTGCCTCAAGATTCCTCAACGTCTCAAAGCTGCAAAGATTCACAACTTTCTCAACAACCCCTTTCTCCTCTTCCTCAGGTGTAAATCCATAACCCATAAACTCAGCCAATCTTCTAACATACGGTAGAGGATCACTTCTCATTGTCTCGTACTTGAGGAACAAAATATTATTTGGATTCTCTTTGTAAGCATTCCAATACGACATGACATGATCTAGATAAGGACCGTACCCCGAGAAACCACGACAGAACATATCAAAACACTCCTCAAGACTATTGAGAGTGCCACTTCCAAAATTTTGCTTTTGGAAGAAAGTCCACATTGAGATGAAAGTGTCCTTGGGATCTCTCCATATATAAACCATCTTGCAACCCGATTTTAAAATCGATTCGGGTAGTAACCCGTGAGGCATATGAGTCGAAAACAGAGTGTTCCCTTTGTCTTTAACAACATCAACTTGTGGAAAGAAAGCAAGCTCCATCTCAATGAAGGGAACAAGCTCGTGAGGGTTACGTTTTAGGAGAGGGTTAGAAGAATCATCGTCGAAGCGAGATCGGTTAACAATAGAGAAAGCTAGGGCTTTGAGCCAAGTGGTACCTGACTTTGGGTAGGTACAAATGAAAAAGTCAACGGGCCTCGCTTGGAAGAAGTCTTGCGCGTGAAGGCAACCTGCAAGGAGAGGCTCTATGATCCAGTGACCACCATATCCGATGAACGGAGCCTTCTCAAACCAGCCTTTCGCGTGAGGCAACGTGGCCATAAGGTCTTTGTACCGTTTCTGAACGTTCTCGAACTCTGTTAACGCTATCTTGGCCTCGTCTTGGTGGCTCGGTATGGTATTGTCGGTTAGGATTTGTAGCTCTTGTATAGATAGAGAAGGAGGATTTGAAGACTCCTCTTGTGTTCCTTTGAAGATTTGTTGTTCTGATGCCATGTTGAAGGTGTAGTGAATAAAATTCATTTCCACCGAAAATAATAATGCATTGGAATTTATATATGCACCCACGCATATAGAGGATATGAGGAAAGAGATGCTTATTAGCGTATACAAACAATGTAGATTTGGGCATATCTTTTAGAGTGCTGGTCTGTGTCCGGACAAATAATGGATATAGTTCTATTGAAGCTATTGTACGTATACCCGCACGTGTTAATATCTCAGAACTCAACTGCCACCTATCCTTCTTAGTGTCATAACCTGGGTCACTAGATCACATGGGATATTCAGAACGGTTATGGGAAAGATCAAGACGACCGACGTGAACCAAAGTGATAAGAAGAAAAGTTCATGATCCTTTGATGTAGTAAGATCCTGTAATAAAAGTATTTATATATTTGTAAAATAAACATATCACCCCACAAAGTGGTTTTCTATGTAATCTATTCAACCACAAACTAAACTCTTCAGTGGCACAACAACTCTGAATCTGCTTCTTCTATGAGACTAATGTACAAGAATCAACGCCCTGACGATATATACATTTCTTATAATAAACTTTGATGAAGATATAACTATGATCCACTATTTCTACGCTACCTCTGAATATCTACGTCGTGGGAACGCGCAATGAACAAGGAGTTCCACTAAAACATGCTTAGCGAAAATATATTTTTCTATAAGTGGCGTAAAAGTGTTTATCCTTTCAATTTGACAAACGCCAAAAAAACAATGGTGGTGAACTAAAATGACAGTAGATCTGGTACCACAAATCAGAATGATATTTTACTTTATATATTCTTGTTGACTATTTAAGCCAACAAATGCTGATAACTAGATTCCCCATCACGTCCGGTCAGAAAAAAAGTATATCATCAATATAGTGGAATCTTACTTAACACAAAAAAGTATATCATCAATATAGTGGAATCTTACTTAACACAAAAAAAATATATCATCTGCACGGGGATGAGGTCTTTGCATGGTGAGAGACTAGTCTATATGGTTATGATAGATATCTGAAGCTAACATTTGCAGCTTATTTTATCACAACAATAACAATAAAATTAATCAATTATCACCAACTTGTACTGTTTAGAAGTGCTAGAAAAAGGAAAAAAGGCAAGAGCTCAGTGAGATACACATCCAAGATCATAGAGATGCGATGGAACCAACTATCGCTGAAGCCTAAATCCTCACAGCTCAGTGCATCAGCAGGGATTAAACAGGGTACTATTCTACCACTAGACCACTAGTGCTAATTGTTTGGTTGCTCCTTTATCCATTTATATAAAATAAACAAATTTATAGGCAGGAAAGCGAAAAGTATATGTACTTTAGGTTACTACTGTGGATGTGTATATACATATAATCTGATGTTTTTTCTTTGAAACTTATATACTCTGATGTTTGGTAATTTCTAACCGGTAAGAGGATAATAACACATAACTAAAGGGTGTTTTAATGAAACCAAAGACTATATAATTATCCAATTATCCAAGAAAATGCTAAATATGATTTTATTACTCCATTGTTTCAAAGCTCAGTTTTGTATCCGTTAAATGTTTTCCCCCAACATGTAAGTCAGTAAATTCTTTTGTTTTTTTTTGGTCAAATCAGTAAATTCTTTTGTTAAAATTGAAAAAGATGGAATATATCAATTTTGTTCAACTCTGGACTCGTATGTCAATTTTGGCAAGATGGAATATATCAATTTTGTTCAACATACAGAGTTGCACACTAAGTAGACTCAACATCTGCTCTATTTCCCTCTACCTGAAACCTATACAACACTTATAATCCATCAAATGAATCCTTATTTACAAGTTATAGATAGAATTAATCAATGTGGAGATGAGTCATGTGAGTGAAGGAAAGACCTGTCTTTTATCTTCCCAAAAGTAAAATGTGTTTTTGAGGGAAAAATCTATCTTTTTCTGTTTTTGGTGGGAAATGTGTTTTCTGGATTTTGGAGAGAAAATGCGTTTTTGCAAGTTTTGATGAAAAAATTCAGTTTTGCGTTTTTGGAAGGGGGAATGCGTTTTGCAGGTTTTAGCGGAGAAATGTGTTTTTGCGTTTTTGGTGGAAAGATACATTTTACGGATTTTTGCGTGAAAATGCATTTTGCTTTTTTAGTAGAAAATAGATTTTTGTGTTTTTGGCGGGAAAATGCATTTTTATGGTTCTGATGAGAATTTTTTTTTACCTTTTGGACGGAAAATACGATTTAGTGATTTTGACGGAAAATGCATTTTATGTATTTAGACAGAAAATATGCTTTTACGTTTTTAAGGGGAAAATAAGTTTTACTCCACTAGTTTTGGCAGAAAATGTATTAAAATCCTATAATAAATTTTTTATATATCTGTAAAATGAACAAATCACCCCCAAAAGTGGTTTCTCTTCACTTGCAAACTACTCTGAATCTGTTTCTTCTATGAGATCTCATGTACAAGATTCAACGTCTTGACGATATATACATTCTTATAATAAAGGGAAAATTACCAAATATGACTCAAAACTTGATTTGAAATGCAAAAGTAAACCCAAACTTGAATAAAATGCAAAAGTAACTTAAAAGGCTGCTGAAATTACAACCAACCCCTTGTGAACAAACAAAAAAAGATTACTTTTTTTACGTTTCTAGCCCTCGCAAGTCGTCTGAGACAGTTTTTCTTAAAAATAATTTAAAAATTGTGTAATAAATATTTTGATAAATGAAAAATTGGAATTATGTAATTAACATATGTCTTAAGAGATATAAATTAATATATAACAAAAGTCAGTTGTTTTCAGCATAGATGAGTGAAAGTAGTGAGTCATGATATTCTTTACTTTTGGTTTCACCAACATATGTTGTAGTATTGTATGTGTTTCTTAGGGTTAGATTTTTCGAAAGCATAAATGTTTTTTCGAAAAATTAAAAATTTACCTAAGTGTGTTTATTTCTGTGTATAGTAAACAATATTTAAGTATAATTTGATTTTATAACGTGGTTAGTTAGTTAATTTAGTCAATTTAGTTTAGGGTTTAGGGTTTAGGGTCTGGACGACTTATATTTAAGTCGTCTGGTAAATATATTTAATAATGCAGACGACTTAGTCGTCTTATAG